TGAGTTCGTGGATTCTTTGTCGAATTGGGTATTGCTGGGAAGGCGGAACTCTTAATTAAATCATGCTTAGGCGAACTGATCCTATGTCATTACAGTTTATTTTGAGTTGTGGATAAGTTATTGACCTGGATTATAACCTTTATCGTACTGTAGCTTGTTTTGATGATCAATTTGCTATAACTGGTGTTAATTCTAACTATCATCAGGGGTTTGAGATGTCGACCCCAGCTAGGAAGAGGCTGATGAGAGACTTCAGGAGGTTGCAGCAGGACCCACCTGCAGGCATTAGTGGTGCCCCACAAGACAATAATATCATGCTCTGGAATGCGGTTATATTCGGGTGAATGTCCTTTCAGTTTTATCAAAATCAAGCTGCGGTTTGCTAATTTAGTGAATTATGAATAATTTCTATGTTGGTCTTGGTAATATTTTTATATTGTTCTGACTTACTTGTTTCATGTGGATTGCAGTCCGGATGATACACCTTGGGATGGAGGTTCGTTAATCTTATCGTATTTGATGTTTAGCTTTATATTTTCTCCTTTCTTTCTTTGTGTTTGAGTTTTTAGAGGCCATACTCGTATACTTATTTGTTTGCATTCTGGTCATACCTGTTCTTATGACATAAATATTTCTGCATTTTCTTTTGCGTCATATTTTCACGAAGATATTGCTGATTCTCTATGTCCCTGATCTTCTGAGATGGTTGACAACTGAATCTTATTTAATGTTGATTGCTTGATTTGTAAGATTAAGTATGGTTATCGTCCATCTGGATTTAATAATATTTTATCCGACACAAATTGTAAAACCACAGCATAAAAGTTCTATGTTTCTGTTAATTTCCCTACAATCCTCGGAAAAAAATGCACAAAATAATATAGAACAGAAAAATCCATCTGTCGTTGGGTTTATAAATTATACTCTAATCAATGGATATCCCGTGCACTTATAGTTTGAGTTGCATTATGTTCATTTGTGATGATACGGGTTATCTCAATCTCAATCTCAATCTCATGCCTTATACATTGAGTGTGTGACAGGTACGTTTAAATTGACACTCCAGTTCACAGAAGATTATCCAAACAAGCCACCCACTGTTCGGTTTGTTTCACGGATGTTCCACCCAAATAGTAAGACTATGGCATTGAAAAAAAATTCAGTTCGTTGATATTTTAACTTAATGTGAATCTCATTTTGGATTTTATCTTGTGATCAGTTTACGCAGATGGAAGTATTTGTTTGGACATCCTACAAAATCAGTGGAGCCCTATATATGATGCTGCAGCTATACTTACATCCATCCAGGTACAAGCGTTATCTTCTAAAATAGTGTAGTTGTTGTTCTCTTTTTTTGTGTGATCAGCAGATTGACATTTTTGTGTTGCTTTAAGTCGTGGCTCTTATTTTATGTAGATTGGTGTTAATTGCTGCGTAAATATTTGGTACTTACATTCTTTCCTTTGGGCCTATTGACAAATTATCTGAGGGTATTTGCGAAGAATATTCGCGTAAGTTGCAAAATGGAAGAATTAAAGAATATTGAGCTTTTTATGATACTTGAGAGTTGAGAGTTTGGCTATGAAGTTGTATTTAATGTTAAAGTGTTGAACCTTGTGGTTATAAATTATAACTTTTCTTTGTCGAAGCTAGTTTTAAAAACACGTGACAGACTAACGTTCGTGAAGTAAATTTCAATTTGGTGTTCTCTCTGGGGCAAAATTGCATTTTTATTTCTGTTGGTTTATTGCCATAGCAATTTTAGTCCTAATGTTCCAAGAGTTCGTCTTTTGGTCCCGTGATTTAATATTTTGCTACAATTTCAGTCTTCAAAGAACTGAAATTGCAACGAAATTTCAAATTCACATATTTTAGATTAGTAATTGAAGTCCTGTAATTTGAATTTTTGTTGTAATTTCAGTCGTGTAATTTATTGCAGCAAAATATTATATCACATGACCAAAAGGCTAAAAGTTGGAACAGTAGGACTAAAATTGCTACGGCGTTAAACCAACACAGGACTAAAAATGCATTTTTGCCTTTCTTTGGCAAGCACTTGTTCACAAAAAAACGTGGCTAAGAATAAAGCTAATCTTTTACATTTTTCGTTTCTGCTACAGTCATTGTTGTGCGACCCGAATCCAAATTCTCCCGCAAATTCTGAAGCTGCTCGTTTGTTCAGCGAGAGCAAAAAAGAGTACAATCGCAGAGTGAGAGATATTGTTGAGCAAAGCTGGACGGCCGACTAAATCCATAGATGTTTGTGCCGATTTATGGACCGTGTGAGCACTTTGTGTGTTCGATTTCTTATGAAGCTGTTTGATAAGCAAATCACAACCATATGCTGCAAGAAGGTTGCTTTTGTATCTACTAAATTTGGGTTTTCATGAATTCTATGCATCTCCTTTGGAATTATAATGAACTCTTGTGTTTTAAGGGACTTTTTTTCCTAATGTTTGAATCATCATATTATGAAATCAATGATTGAGTTTGTTGAAGATGGTGCATAAATAACAAATTACCTCAATGACTCGTTCGGAGAAGTCTTGTATAGGTGGGGACTAACATAAACCTAAATATCTTAATTTTCATACAAAATACATTATTAGTTAATATTGTATAGGTGGGGACTAGCATAATAAAACCTAAATATCCAACTTTTTCATACAAAATGCATTATTAGTGAATAATATTCAAGTCTATCTCCCTTTGAACAATATTAAGATAGCAAATTTTAGCTGTCTCAAGAATATATAACAAATACTAAAAAATTATCAACGCACATTTTTCTTTTTTGAAAAAGAAAATTCAAATATGCAAGTATTATTACAATATAATTCATAATTAATAGCTAAGAATCCATCAATCTACAACCCTACTTAAAGATCCAACTCATCCATAAATCAAATGGAAAATCCTATATCTTATCAACCAGACAAGAAAATGAATACTCACAATAATAAGAGAACTTGTTGATTTTATTTATTTACTATAAAATAGCTCAAAAATTTAAGCGCAAACCAATATGAAAAATGGAGAATAAATTAATGTACAAAGTTTTAAAGCAATAATATTTAATTAACTTTTAAGACAAATTTTCTTTCAANAAAAAAAAAAAAAAAAAAAACTTTTAAGACAAATTTTAGCCAGAGGGACTGAATTTTATATTTCTGTACTTTGAGAGGGTAAAAAGTGATATCCAGCAAATCTAGCGTAGCTGTCAGGCTACCAAAATGAGATTTTTCACAAATAAATACAAAACAAATAATTTTCAGCTCATCTGCGTGACTGTCTGCTCGTTTCATAGTGTCAATCCCTTTCTCCATCAGAAACTTCACTGAAAAGGGTCTCTTTCTCTGCTGGTAAATGCAAAATTCTTCTCTGTGTTTGCGTATCTTGATTCACATGGGGGATCTATCTTGTATCTCGTTCTTGGTTGTAAAAAGTTGACTTTCTTTTTTGTTCGGAAATTTTAATTCAGAATCGCGATTGGGGGATTTTTTGAGCCGTTGGTGTATTTAATTAGCGTATGAACGATATGGGGTTCGTGTTTATAGTAATTGGATGATCCGTAATGAGCTGATTGTTGCTTTTTTTGCTGAATGAGAAGTGTTTCGTTTTGGAATCTAGAGCTATTTTTTGAATTGTAAATTGTAGCTGCTTATCCTAGATAACCCCATTTAATTATTTTTTTTTACTTTAATTTGGTGTTTTTGGGCTGTGAATTCTCTTTACAAATATGCGTTTTTGGGAAAAAAAAATCTTGTTTTAATCATGCTACGGGGCTTTTGGTAATGGAATTGATTTTCGTTCCTAGATTAATTATGGCCTGGAATATAACTTTCTGTTTAGTTTTTATATATGGGCTTGTGTTGATTGTTGCATTTTGATAATGATTTGAGTGAATTGTTACTATCATCAGGGATTTTAAGATGTCGACTCCAGCCCGGAAGAGGCTGATGAGGGATTTCAAGAGGTTGCAGCAGGACCCACCTGCAGGTATAAGTGGTGCCCCACAGGACAATAATATTATGCTCTGGAATGCTGTAATATTCGGGTGAGTATCCTTTGGGTTTATAATGAAATAGCGGGATGTTATGAGAATTTAATGAATTTTTTTGTGAGTGTTATGTAGTCCGGATGATACACCTTGGGATGGAGGTGAGTCAATCTACAGCTCAGGCATTTTCGAATATAAATGTTTTTTCATTTATCTTTATAAGGTCGTGCTTGTATGTAACTTTTGTTTACATATGTATCTGTTTGATTTAGTTATAAAAAGAAATTTGTGGCGGTTGTCTCCTTGTATGACATAATTAGTTGTTGCTGGTTTTTAATCTGCGTCTTATATGAAGAAGTTATCTGACTATCTCTACTTAAATTTTGTTTTGTGTTTTGATGTTATAGAAAACTATAATTATTAAATTTTGATTGGCTTGTTTATAAGATTATTCTGGTAATCGTCCACTCTGATTTAGAAATATGTTCTGTTCCTCAATGTAAATCCATCTTCTTGTTAAGACTTCTTATCTTCAGGCACACCATAATATAGCTGAAAGCATTTTGGAGGTTGTTCATCTCTTTGTACATCTCTTTTTGTGAAATTCATTTGGCTTTTCATACTCCAGCCAACATTGTGAGTTGTTTTTGTTATTTCCTTTTATGCCATCCAATATTCTCACGTGCTAGGATTTCTTTGTTCATCTCCCTTACAATTAATATTGAAATTTAGATTTATATTACCAAATAAAGGAAGATGTTGGCCAAACTCTTTTTGTAGTCATTGGTAGCCCCTAACATGATTGTCTATATATTTCATCGATTATGCTTCATGAAATTTGACGTTAAGCGTTAGTATTTTAGCTCTCTTAATATTCTTTTTTAATACAATAACTCACAGAGAATAAGTTGTAGAATGCATTAATATTTTTCACTTGATAAAGTTTTTTTTGGAAGACAAATTAGCAATATTTCCACAGAGGGAATTTACATGTTCCTTTCCTTGTCAGATATTCTTCATATCAGTTGATAATACGAGATACATTGTGTTCTTTTATGCATTTTCCGTCTTGCAAGATGAGACCAACTTGATAACTGAATCCTGTATGATAAAATTTGCACACCACTGTGAAAAGCTTTGTATTCCTCCATTAATTTTCCTACAATCCTCACACTAAATGGACAAATTAAATGCTGTGCCTTGTGTTTTGAGTGGCACAGGTACGTTTAAGCTGACTCTGCAGTTCACAGAAGATTATCCAAACAAGCCACCGACTGTTCGATTTGTCTCTCGAATGTTTCATCCAAACAGTAATATGACGTCATTAAAGATATCTACTTTCTTGAAATTGTTTGATCAGGGTGAACTAACTTGTTACATTTTTTTAAAACTTATGATCAGTTTATGCGGATGGAAGTATTTGTTTGGACATCCTACAAAATCAGTGGAGTCCCATATATGATGCCGCTGCTATACTGACATCAATCCAGGTACAAGCGTTATTTTTCAAATTACGTGATTCCTTTACTCTTTT